CCGGCATCGGGAAGGGGTAGCCATAGTTACTGGGCGTGCAGTCGAGCTGAAACATCTATTCATGTATTGATGTCTGAGCTATGCATGTAGATGTTTTAGTCGTATTGTCGTGATGAGGTTTGTTGACTGGCTGTTAGCATACTGTTGATGATATTAATGCTCCATTACCCATATTAAGGAATATACCGCAATTCCCATGGACCAGAGTCCTTAAGGTAATGCAGGATTTATATCATCAACCCTAAACCCTAAACCCTATAGATCCCTTAACGGAAGCCCTTAAAGGTACCCTTATAGATCCCTTTAAAGGGACCCCAGGATTTATATCATCAACCGTAGTTCTTAAGCCTGCCAAAGCCCTTACGGTTACTACGGCTTTTGCAGTCAGCCGCAGTCGTCCACATCGTGTTCGTCGCCATAGCAGTGCCTTCTGCGTCTGATTTGGAGCCCAGAGTGCCAGCTCGTAAGAATCGTCTCGATGCAGTGCAGACGCAGATGAAGCTGATCAAATTAATGTTTCATGTTGATGAATGACGCGAGACTCTGGGTTTGAAGAAATCATCATCGCAATTGATTGACCCGAATACTTATGGTGCCACACCCCACAACATGAGATAGAGAGAGAGAGAGGGAGAGAGAGTTTTGTATTTCTTGTGCAGTATATCTGTGCATCTAGATGTAAACCCAAGCTATAAACCCTTCTCTATCTATACACATACATATAGGTATATATATATATATATATATATATATATATATATCTAAGCATATATATATATATATGTACACGCATACAGACATACATACATACGAAGGTTTTAAGAAAAAACAGTAGGACAAAGCATCTCTCTGCGTCCCCTGTGTCGAGGCCACGGCCGGGCCTTGGCGTCGTTGGCGCGCGCGGCGCAGGGCTGGGCCCTGGCCCTGTCGCTTGGCTCGGCCGGGTCGGGGGGCCTGGGCGGGTGGGTTTAGGTTTTCTCGAGAGTGAGGGGTACGACATTTTGGGGTCCTTGTAACAAGGATCCTACTAATTATGTAGGTTACTATATTGGGGTCCCTATTTTCCAAAAGGTTCTATAAGCTTATGGAGTCTGTTTTGGTTTTTGAATTTCGAGCTTTTCGGGCTTTGGGGTTTTGGCTTAGGGTCCCTCCTAAAAAGGTCGAAGGTGCCTACTGAGGGTTCAGAAGTTTATAGAGAGACCTCAGTAAGTACGAACACTTTTCCGTTGAGTTCCGATTCTGCTTATAATGGTTAGTGCTGTAGTAGCTTTCCGTCAGCTGCAAAGCCTTCTCTACATGTTCTGGCCCCTATAGTACGGGGAGTGATGGTTGACGCTTCGACGGCTGACGGCGACCCTAGACCGCACTTTAGCCTGAACCTTTGGGAAATGAAGTCTTTGGGGTTCAAGATTAAACACGGTAATAGAGACCTTAAACACAGCAAAACATGCAATAGTAATCATGATCATAATCATAATTAGAATCATAGTCATAAAGATCGTAAGAACAAGTATGTTCCCAGAGATCCATAGAAAAAGCAGGTGTGGGGGTGTGAAGGTAAACCGCACAGCCCTGGACTCCAAACCCGCAAACAGACGCCGATGAGCCTCCAGACAACGAGGCCCCAAACCCTACTTAAAGGATCATGGGACTTAGTAACTAAGGTTATAATTAAGGTAACTATACATATAACTACTTATAACCCCAATTAGGGGACTTATAACCTTACTTACTAAGTCCCCTGATCCTCTAAGTAGACCTTCAAGGTTTAGGGCTTTGGGCTTAGAGTGTGAAGTTTAGAGTTTACGGTGTTAGCATTTTGGTGTTTACATAAGGCCTAGGGCTGGGGGTTAGATTCCGAAGACACTGTCGCAGGCTAGCCGCGACCTAGTCAGCCATAACGTGCTGATTGCTGCCTGCGGCCAGGTGCCGTGGAAGAGTTTCTACAGAGCCTCAAGGGTTCATAAGCCCTAAACCCTAAACCCTAAACCCTAAACCCTAAACCGTTTGTGGTTAAAGGTTTCGGGCCTACAGGGCTCAGAGCTTCGGGTTTCGCGCTGTATTCACGGCATGCTAGTGGCTCACGTTCTATTTTTGTGGCATTCAAAGGCGTCCTTGCCGTGGCCTTCCCTGGAGGGCTCCAGGCCACTAGTCGCAGATTTTGTATAACGGTTTAGGGTTTAGGGCCTATAGGGTTTAGGATAATCCAGTAACACATCATTATTCAGGCCAGCCATCATTTCAGAGGATTGCGGCAAAATGAAGCTTAGCAGTATAGGTTGTCTAATTTGGCTTGGCTTTCTAGATCCTCCCAGGGACTGGGTAGCTACACGCAACCCTAAACCCTAAGCCCCTAAAACCATCTAAACCCTGCACCCTCGACCCTTGACATGCCAACGGCACTGTGTCTGGATCTCGGCATCGAGAGAGCAGTTGTTTTGTTCATGCTTGAAGTCTCCATCCTGCTAGGAGATCATCTAGTCTAGCACTGTAGTTTTATGGTGCAGTAGAATGCAATAGGTTATAGCATGGTATGATATACGACGCAATCTGAAACATCATATTGAAGCAGCCCGACTCAAGATTGAGATTGGCGTCCTTATCATGGCAACTTAAATGAAACGCCCAAACAAGAACCCGGTAACTGTATGTCACCAGGGTACACAGCACTATTGCCGGCTCAGTAGCCTATTGTTTCGGTGGCTGGAGCCCGAGAAGATGCTATCCTGAAGCCCTGCTTGGAGGGCCAGGGGACTTAGTAAGGGTTCTTAATTAATAAAGGGCTCCTTAAAGGGATCTATCGGGTTCCTTAAAGGGATCTATGGGGTTTAGGGTTCAGGGTCTACTTGGGAGGGCCAGGGGACTTAGTAAGTCGTTTATAAGTAGGGCTATAATTGGGGTAACTCCATTTAGGGCACTTATAACTCTACGTATAGCCCACTTACTAAGTCCCTTACCCCGCCAAGTAGTCCCTAAACCCAGAACCGGCGATTCTATCCTTGGATCCTGGTCGGGGAAGAAAGCCTGTCGCAAGTCTGGAGGACATGGGCGGTATCGCCGGGAATAGGGGAGCCGGATCCGTTGTTGGCAAGTGTTGGTATTCGTCTCCAGAAAGTCACGTTATCATTATAGTATCATACACCCTAAAGCCCCATTCAAGTTCTTAAGTTCTTAAGGCCACTGAATCTCCGAAGCATCCTGAATCCATTTCGTCGTCAGTTGCGCAGTGGCTCGCCTCTGCAGTTCGATTCATATCATAAGCATATGGACTTATCGCTGCCAAATCTGGAGCCCATACAAGAAGCCCGAACAAATCGTAATCCATCCTGATGACCTTAAGAACCGTAAACCCTAAGTCCTACGGTTGATGATAGAAATCCTGCATGACCTTAAGGACCCTAAACTATGGGAATTATGGTATATTCCTTATTCTGGGTAATGCAGGATTTGTATCATCAACCGTAGCAAGCTTTATGCCATTCAGGACTCCGCTTGGGCAGCATCCCTGGCGCTTCTGGCGGCAATGCCGAGCCGGGAATTGCAAGCGGACTGGCTGGGGTTTAGGACCGTTTAGGATTAGGAGTTTCGGCTTCGATTGAAGCTCAGGGTTTGGGGTCTTGGCATTAGGGTCTGTAGGGTTTCGGGGTTTAGGGGCTAGTGGATAGCTCCGACTACTTTGACCAGAATGATCTTGCCAGTGGTGACTATGGTGGCGGTGGTGATCGGGACCACTGCTATGACTAATATCGGCAAGAAAACTGCTACGATCGCGAAGACGATCGCTATGGACGACGACGGCGACGACGACGAGGAGCACCGGAGTACCGGAACTCAAGCCCGAAGATTCGTATCAGCTGCATGCTTAGATCATCACGTTTTGGGCTGTCTGGCACCTTCCAAAGTGTTTCCGCTAGCTGAAAGCAGCTCTGGGTCAAAGCTGCTCGGGTGTTGAACCGGTATCAGCAGAGAAGTTGAGTCTAGCATTCCTTGCAGGACGTAGTCAGCTTCAACAGCGCCATCACTGCCTCTTGGACGATGTCTTTACCAAATCAGAAAAGCCCAACGAGGGCCAAACAGGTTCAGTCTCAGGGAGGCCGACCATTTTGGCGGCATTCCGACTTGTTGACTAGACTGGTGCGGGACTTGCGTTTGCAGTCAGTCACGAATCATATACACCCCGGAACCCTGTGCTAATCATGAAGCCCCTATAACAGCTTTTGATGTCAGGCCCCGCGAAGGATGAATTGCGACTCCAAGTCATGGCCGAAGGTGTATTCCTCAAGGAAAGGGGCTCCGCCCATAGGCCCCACAGTGGTTCCTTTTGGGGGGTTCATATTTAGAATCTTATGAGGTAATTCAGAAAGGAACTACTATGGGGCCTCTGGGCCGTTAGGGGTTTAGGGTGGGGGGTTTAGGGTTTAGTGTGTTGGGGTTCCTAGGCACTCTAGTTGCTCCACTGTCCAGGCTCTTAGCTCTGCACAATCTGTATGCGGATGTTGCAGACATAAACCATCGTTCCAAGTTGCCCGAGTTTGAAGAAGTAGACCACTTTTCAGAACCTTACATATTGCCTTTTGGCCGCTCGTCGTTTCTCTCCAGTTTTCGGGTCCGGCCGTTCGATGCTGGAGATGTCGAACACCCTAAACCCTAAACCTGCCCTAAACCCAAACCCTAAACCCTGAACTCAATCACTGAAAGAGGCCCTACAAGAAAAAAACACAAGCCGCAATAAACGTCGTTGACGAGAGGCCCCTCGCAACTCCGAGCTGGTGAGCCCCTTTTTCAGTCAACGCCTTCTCAATGAAACCCAAACTAATGACCCAAAACCTGGTAACCCTGAACCCTTAGCAACCCGGGACGACTAAAGCCCTAACCCTAAATCCTAGAACCTCAGAAACCGTAAAACGTGATCTCTTCGGCCCGAATCCAAAGTTCCACTCCGACTGGAGGCCTGTGGCAGTGCCGGCCGCTGGCAGCTGGCCATCTCCTTGTTGATTACCATGGTCGAGGCACCCTGGTTCCAGGATGTTTTGTTTTTTCGTGGGTGTCACAGTTTTTAGGGTTCTAATGGTTTAAAGATGTTTTGGGGTTTGGGGGTTTGGGGTTTAGGAGTTTTGGGTTTTGGGGCTTGAGGTTTAGTGCTTGGGGTTTAGGGTTGTAGTGTTTGGGAGTTAGGTTTAGGGCTCTTACGATGCCGAAACACAACGCTCGACCGTTTTCTGTGTCTCGTTCGCAAGGGCGTTGTCGGAAGTTGCTGGGTCATTGCACATCGAAAGCCCCTTCACCTGGCACCCTCGCTACTCCAGACCTGGTATTGCACATGCCAACCTAGAGGGTTCCTCCTTGAAGGCTTGTGGCGCTTAGGGTGGACTCCAAATCCTCAGACCATCAAGGGGTACCTAGACCCCAATGCCTCATTAAACCCTGAACCGTTTGCCAACCTTGTACAAAGCCTTCAGCCTAACCCTCTGACCCGTAACTTGAAGGACCACTCTCCTTCACGCCCGAAAAGAGGCAGATCTTCGACGCGATGCTATTGGCCTAGCAGCGGCCATGACAGCCTGCGAGAAGGCCAAATCCTAAGACCCTGGAACCTTAAGACAACCCTCACACCGTCAATCCCCTGAATTTAAGTCGAAACTTAAAAATCTTGAGTCATAGCGAAAGCCCCAAAATCTCAAGTCATAAGCCGTAAAACCCTAAATCGGAGCAAGGAGAAGCGGGGGTTGGATGGCAAACTGTAACTTCCCAATGGGCCAGAAGTCTCTCAGAATGAGGCAGCCGTCTAAAAAGCTTCTTTTCTTCACAGTTCATTCAACTCATCCCTCTATAAGTCAGTGTTTGGGTTCGGCATAGCAATGTCCAACAGCTTTGGGTTTAGGGTTCACGGATATTGATCTGATACCTCCAAGCTCGGGGGTTTAGGGACATCTTAAGCCGCAGCAGCTTTCGCCGCAAGAGTTGCTTTCGGGGCTCCTTTAAGGGTTCGGTGTAGGGATTACTTGGAGGATCAGGGGACTTAGTAAGTATATAAGTACCCTAATTGGGTTATAAGTAGTTATAAGTATAGTTACCTTACTTATAACCCTTAGTTACTAAGTCCCATGATCTTTTAAGTAAGGGAAGCACCCCATGCAAAGCGCGAGGAAGGCCTTTGGCAGATGGCCGTCAACCTTTTCACAGTCCTGGCCGATGTGCATCAGGCTCGCACGGAATACTTAAAGGATCATGGGACTTAGTAACTAGGGTTATAAATAAGGTTACTGTGCTTATAAATACTTATAACCCCAATTAAGATATTTATAATCTTGTTTACTAATTAAGTCCCCTGATCCTCCAAGTAGGAGTCCTGGGGTTTGAGCTTGGGGCTTGTATTCTAAAGGTTTGTGCAAAAGGGCTTGGGATTTAAGGCTTATAGTCTAGGGTTGTACAGGGTTTAAAGGGATCAGCGAGCATTCGTAGCAACAATCAAATGCACCACTTACCTGCACAAGGGTTTTAGATGTTGTGGACCCTTGACGCGTCCCAGTTCCCGTTGCACGAGCTTCCCTGCTCAAGGCCTGACAAAGCCAAACTCCAAAAACCTTACCACACCCCTGCCTTAAACAGGGGTCTGAACAAATCGTAATCATGTCCCTCGAAACTTGTAGCCCCTTTATCATTGCACAAAAATGTACCCCGAGGGCCTGTTGAAATTTTCTAAGGCCGCCATAGCACTCATAGAGCCCCTTTGAGAAACGTTATTCTATATACTTATACAAAGCAATTAAGTCCCCTTGTATTGGTTTGTGGCTGCTGACAGGACCCTTAATGGGGACCCCTACCCTGTAATGGGCTATATAATGGGTATATAATAGCTATATCAGGGGTATATACCTAGGGGTCCTCATTCAGGGTCCCTCCTTTTCCCCTTTGACATGTTTATTCCCTCGACTCAAAGGCCCTGGGGACTAACTACGTATGTGGCTTGTCAGTGGAGTTTTCTGTACCCTGAAGGAGTTACCCCAATTATAGCCCTACTTTTGAATTATGACCGACTTACTAAGTCCCCCCGGCCTCCGGGTACTTTAATCTCAATCCACCTCCCAATTCCTATTATTAAAGCCCCTACATTGCCTCAAGGGCGGATATTGGGCTCCATACTTGAGTACATTGCATTGTATGATAACACATGTTTAGTTCCCAACTAACCCTAGAGCCCTCGATTCTTAACAGACTTAAACCCTAAACCCCGGAACCCCGAGCCTGGGGGTATATTATGTACTGTAGGTAGGTGTCCCTTCGATATATGCGGATATCAGCTGCCGAGGATGTCGTCACCTACAGCACAGCCATGGCCGCCTATGGAAGAGGCCGGGGACTCTTCCCGAGCTGCAAAGTCAGATTGGAGGGCCAGGGGACTTAGAAAGGGTTCTTAATTAATAAAGGGCTCCTTAAAGGGATCTATAGGGTGCCTTAAAGGGATCTATGGGGTTTAGGGTTCAGGGTCTACTTGGGAGGGCCAGGGGACTTAGAAAGTTGTATAAGTAGGGTTATAACTGGGGTAACTCCATTTAGGGTACTTATAAGTCTACTTATAACCTACTTACTAGGTCTCCTGCCCCTCCAAGTAGACCCTAAACCCTAAACCCCATAGATCCGTTTAAGGAGCCCTATAGATCCATTTAAGGAACCCTATAGATGACTTTAAGGAGCCCTTTCCCCAACCCCCCCAAGGGCTCTCATGCTCACACGCTTGCCCTCGTGAGGCTCGCAGTGGCAGGCGGTCTTGGTTCTGCTCTGGGACATGGCAGTGCTTGGGCAGCGATCTGGTATACAAGGGTTCCTTAATGGGATCTATAGGGTTTAGGGTCTATTTAAAAGTTCATGCGACTTAGTAACTAGGGGTATAAATAAGGTAACTATACTTACAATTGCCTACAACCTCAGGGTACTTATATCCTCACTTACTAAGTCCCCTGATCCTCCAAGTATGATAAGGGTCCTGTCCCTTTCAGGGTCCTTTGGTTTAAGGGTGCCGTACTATTGAACTTAAAAAGGGAACCTATAATAACAAAAAAACATATTCTATGTATATGTGTGTACAAACATTACGGGTCATATCTTGCATTATGTACCGTCGATGTGGGGTTTCGTGATTTCCTGGGCTTTTGTAGTGCTGCTTTGGAGCTTTTTGCCTCAGAGCTTGCATGCCTCCAAGGGGCATGTGCTATATTGTTATATGACTACTATTTGTACATATATACATATACATATATACATAGATGCATGCATACATACATTTCCGGTTCCCAAAAATGTCGAGCAGGATATGTAATGCCGCCGTGTTCTTTATACATATGCATGTATGTATATATATATATATATATATATGTACATACATACATATGCACATACATCCAGATTTAGGCTGTTGGGGATCACTGCTTCGGCTCACCGTTGGACGCGACCCTCTTGAGCCAAGGATGCGGATGTGTCTCCGAACGAATTCAGCCACGGCCTCAGTGGAATCCATGCATTTTCGGAAAGTAGGAGCTAGGCATGTATATCAGTGATTATCAGTGTATATGTTTGCTTTATGTAACTCACGTATGTATGTATGTATGTATGCATGTCCGCATGGCTATAGATGCATGAATGCATCAATGTGTGTCCGTCTGTCTGTATGTATGCATTATCATGGACTTGTGTTTGAAGGAACCACCGCGTGTTTGGCAACTCAATGGAACGTACCAGGTACCAGGCCGTTTTGAGCACATGCCACAATGATCAGTCGCGTTTTATGGCTGGCTCGCATTTTTCATAGAAATACGCACACTTGCAAGGACTGTCCATTTGTAAATTGGCCTTCTCGGGGAATCGCTTCCAGGGTTGATACAGCATTCAAGCAAGTTCGGTCCGACTCTACTGTTTGTTCTTTTGCAGGATAGCGTCATATACACGAAAACCTTATCCTAGTTGTTAATAAAGCTCCTGCACTAAGCCCTCGCCGAACCTCTGTACGGTAACTAATTGGCCCTTTACACTTTAAATGCACCCTGATCTCATGATTAAGGCCGCCTCTACAATCTGTGTTGCTCCCCAAGTCTAAACCCTGAACCCTTAACCCCGAATATCTTCGAAGAGCCATAGCATCTGAGCAGCGGTGAGGCTTCCACGCCGCTATCGCAGCATGTGCTGATGAAGGCAGGCTCCAGCAATAGGAGCCCGATATAGGAGCCTTCATAATTAGAATGTGGCTTGGGGCAAATTATGTCTAGCGTTTTTTCTAGGGGGCCCTAAGGAAGAATTGTTGCAATTACCCGGGCCTATTGAATTAAGTAGTGGTTTTATTTGTCTCAGCGTTTAGTCAGAGTCGATGTGGAGCTGTAAAGCCGTGTGCTGCAAGTTTCGGAAACAGCCAGGAAGAATGCATTCCTGATTCTTCAAGCTCTTAGATGCCCAAACATGAGCCCATAACCCTCGACCCCAAACCTCACAAGGTAAAAGCCAGAAAGTTGGAATATGATTATCCTAAACCCTTTATGGTAAATTATAGGGTATCCTACCATGAAACCATATTCCAACTTTCTGGAGTTCCCTGTACAATGAGGCTGTAAGCTCTGAACCCAGTCGCAAAACCACCAAAGTTTGAGCCCAACAGGCCGATGTCATGACCGAAACCACAGGGTTTAGGGTTTTTTATTATAACTATCATTATCATCACCATTATTTGAATTTTCATTGTATTTATTATTATCATCATTTTTATTTATATTTAGCATCATATTTATTACTTTTATAATGGAGAAGTCTGATTGAGCTGTCCGCCAGCACATGACACTTCGTCATAGTCTGATGCTATCGGTTTCAGGGTTGAGATCGTCTCTGGCGAATCACATGGATTGCGCAATCGGTTTGTCATCCACAGAGAGTAAGGAGGTCAAGATCAACAGCATGAACAACAACACCAGCGGCAGCAGCAACAGCAGCTCACCCAACATTTTTGAAATAAAGTAGCAGAAGCGCTTTCACATGCGCACCAGCACAAAATCACACAAACAGCCACAGCAATGTGACCACAACGACGACGGCGACGGCGACAGTGGCATCGTTGACGACAGCGAAGATGGACGCTACTACTGCTGTCAGCTTTCTCCATCGCCAGCTGCTCCGAAAAAGACTGGTGCATGGTACCATGAGCAGTGGCACACCATGGCATTTAGGCGAGCCCTGACCTGCACCATCAACCATTGTGGCATTGTGAAGGTGCGTGGCAGTTGGCCTTGGCGCTGCTTGGGGCCATGGATGACAGCTTCTGTGCTCATCTAGAGGGGCACTGGAATGGAGGGTCGGGGTTTTGCGGTTTAAAACATTCTAGGCCTAGGCTGGGGTTGGATGAAGAACGCCACTTGTAGGGTTTTGGGAAGAGGCTTTGTAGGCACTTTCGCACCGCACGGTCTCATGCAGAGAAGTGTGCTTCTGTAGGTAGGTAGTCCACCACACCCCGAGCAGAAAGCAGTGGTCTGAGCTTCAGGTAGATTAAATGGGAGTTTCCGAAAATTGGGGGTAACTTTTTTGGGGTCCTTATAAGGATCCTACTATTTAGGGTACTATTCTAGGGTCCCCTATTTTCGGAAACTCCCAAATGAACTCACGCGCCTGCGCATGCACAAACGCACGCTCGCACACACGACTGCGCGCACGGCACGCAGGCATGCATGCCGCCACGACCCCATGCTGGCGTGTCACGCGTGCACGGCCTAGAGAATGGTATGTAGCATCCCGACCGCACCTCACCCCCCCTTCCGGTTCAGCCTGACAAGACCTGCTTTAGAAGTTTCCTGCCGCAAACTCATAAGACAGCTATGGCACATTCAACTATCTATAGTCTCCTTTGTGGTTCCTTTTTCGCATTACCGCTGTGGGTTCGTGAATCTAAAAGCGGTTAAACCAATACGACGGAGACGGATAGCATGACCAGGTCAACAGTGGGTAAGTTGTCGGAATAGGTGCTTGTGGTTTTCATATTCGTGTCTGGAAAACAAGCGATAGCGGCCACAACCTCTTAATCATGACGTAGCGGTGCAGGAATGATGATGCCATCTCCTGCAAACACACTGCACGAGACAAACGCAGCGGCTGTAACCGAATACGGAGCACATCCAATGACACCGAGCATGGCAAGCTTGCTCTTCTCCTCATACCACGACCGAGTAGCATGTTGTGGACACTATCAGCCCAAGCGTGCGGTTGTCAGAAATTAGCGATGTCATTCACATCTAGACGGTGTTTCAGCCTGCACAGGCTTGATCGTGTTCGTCATGATTGTTCATGAAAGCCTGGTTAGCGACTGGAAGCCTGTAGGAATGTGTGCTACATCCAGGAAGCATCCGGCGCAGTGCGAGGTCTTTCTGCATCTGGGCTGCGCATTGGGAAAGCTGGGATTCGGGTCTAGGGTTTAGGGATTTAGGGATTGAGGTTTGGGGCTTGGGGCTTAGGTTTTAGAGGTTTAGGCTTTAGGGCTTTGGGATTAAGGGTTTGTGGGTCTATGTCCAGGATCTAAATTGAAACCCAAGCCTCTAGGCCCACAGCGGAGCTTAGTCGGGGAGTTTGATGTTTGAAGGCCTGCGCAAGGGCGAGGCGTGCAGTTTTGGCATTGCAGGCACGGATAAGCTTCAACCTGAAACCCCCGGAAACCGCACCTTCAGCCGCTGCCAAAGCGCCTAAACCCTAATCCCTAAACCCCAACCCCGAAACCCGAAGCCCTAAGCCCTAAACCCTAAAAAGCTCTAAACCCTAAACACCCTCAAAGGAGTGGCAGGTCCAAGTTACCATTGGTTTTTTAGGTTTCTGAATGGCTGGCTTCCCTTGAAGGCTTTGATAGGGTCAATGAGGTTTCAATGTAGGGATTTAGTAGGATTTGGGAGTAAACTTGTAGTTTCAATAGGACTCTTGTAGGGTTTATAGAGATTTCCAACCTGGCAACTCCAAGCCGTCATGCCTGTAGGTAATGCCCCAACTGGACCCGCTTTCTGCGTCAGGCCTACATGCCCCGAAAACCAAATGCTCCACCGATTGCTTGGAGGTGCATGCATGTGACAGTGCATTTTTGACCTGTATGTTAAGTTACATGAGTCATCAATTTGTTCATTTTAGTATTTTTCGACACACTGAGGCACAAAGACACAGACAGAGACAGACAGACGGACCGACGGACAGACGGACAGACAGGCACACAGACACACAGACACACACACACACACATACACACACACACACACACACACACACACACACACACACACACACACACACACACACACACACACACACACACACACGCCCACGCACGCGCGCGTGCACGCGAGTGCGCGTGCACGCCCGGTCTTTGTGTGTTTGGTCTGGGTTTGTTTGTTCTTCTTGCCGTCCGCTGCGTGCTTGTATGCGATAAGGACTCGAAACACGGCATAAAGGTGAGGCTTTAGGGTTTCCTGAACCCCTGCCAACAGTACACCTAAAACCCTGAAGCCCGAGCACTAGGCGCGGCGATGTCGCCGGTGGAGACGGGGCCACCCTGGCCAAAGGCAGGTCGAAGCTTCTGTCACATCTTTGTGCATGGGGTTGAAGGTTTAGAGGTGTACAGTTTAGTGATTTAGAGGGGTAAGGATTTTAGGTTTGGAGCTTAGGGATCAATGGCTGAGGTTTGGCCCGTACCTGAGGAACACGGGACTTCGTAAAGCAAGCAAGCTTTTAAGGAAGTACCTTACCTGGAACTTAAGTAGGTATGGTTCGAGATACCTTGTTTATTATAACTCCATGAAGGGGCGGTACGAAGCCAAACCCTGAGCTTGTTGGAAAAAGAGCCCATAAGCGCCCGATTGTAAGTAGCCTAGATTTGTAGATACCTGATTCATAAATGTATACACCTATAATTGTATATTGTCCAACTAGTGTGTACTACTTAAGTTTTGGTACAGTCTAGAGTACATGGCATACAGCAGTATGTTATATATAGATATGCACCTGCATCCAGCATCCAATGTAGGTGATATCGAACTATCAGGCTCTGCACCATAAGTATTATAAGGAACCCCTGGAACCTTATGCTAATTATTAAGCCCCCTGCATTAGGTACCTACGATCTAGGACCTGGGATTATCCCAAAACCTCTTTATTTAGGAATATGCCTTACTATAGGCTAAGGAATATTCATTCATATTTCCTTAGCTAAAGGATGCTGGACCCTTTGGGAAATCAAGATTCTCCAAGGGTACCCAAACAGTACATACTTTGGTGGCCTTAAAGTACTTGTATCGCCACTACTTTGAAGCCAAAGTATACATTGTTTGAGCCTCATGGCGGTTTGCGAGAACTAGGGATACCTTATTCTAGGGTACTCTATTAGGGCTATTTTTGGAAACCCCCACATGGATCCTTACAGATTATCAGGCTCTTGCGCTTCTGCAAGCCACGTTGGACGCCGACTGCCTGCCGGACGCAGGGGCCTCGAAGCCGAGTTTACTTAAAGGATCATGGGACTTAGTAACTCGGGTTACAAGTAAGGCAAGGTAACTATACTTTTAAATGCTTACAACCCCAATTAATGGACTTATAACCTTACTTACTAAGTCCCCTGTTCCTCCAAGTAGAGGCACCCACAGACTGCCAAACCCCTTAAGTAAGGAATATGGGTTCCTTTGAGGCAGCTGTAGGGTTCCTTTAAGAGCTCCTTTAAGGGATCTATAGGGTATAGGGTTTAGGGTGCCCAGAGACTCCAAAAACCCCTTAACTAAGGAATATCCCTTAACTTATAGTAGGCACCCTAGTATCGGGGATCTATGAGGATTTCTACAAGGCTACTCTAGGAACTTAGGAACATCCAGTGACCTATCGTGGGAACCTTTATACAATTTAAGGCATATTCTGGAGCTTTCATTTTGATCGTCTTGAGAGAAGCCCAAGGTCGTTTCTACCCCCCGGAATCCAATTCCAATTGCTAAGGTTCTTATATCTTGGGTACTCAGTAACAGTTGGATAATATTCATAATATAGATATAGTAGGACCTGAATAGTAGCCCTATTATAGACTGTTAGTGTGTGGGGGCAGTACCCAACCTATATCGAGGTTTCATTGGTGCTGTTTAGTGTTGGTGAAAGGGTTTAGGCTGTAGGTCAAAGTGCGGGCCTGAGGTTTCAAGTGTGGGATGTCAGTCTAGGGAGCAGAGATGCAAGAGCATGCTTGGAACGAATCGGGAGAAAGGGTACGGATGGAGGATGATACAGGTGTGGTTTCGGGACAGAGACGCTGCTTTCCGACACGGGTGGTACCTAAAAGCCCGGGAACTACACTTCTTAGTAGTAGCGTAGGCAACCTTTACCTTTGTGGGATAATATACTCCCTATACAATCCCAGAGGCTAACCTTTAGTCCTCCAGGGTACTGTACAAGTAAGACTTGCAGTAGCAGACCACGAGTTCTCTCTCGTCCTTTTGCTCGTCCTTCTTTGCCACGTCGACGAAAACAGACATTCTTGACAGCATTAGAATCGACATCGGAAGCCATCGTCTCCGCTGTCTTCGAAAATCATCATGATGGCCATCATCATCGTCATCGTGTCAGAGTTCACATCTGCAGATTCTGTCAGTCACCAATGTTTGCTTACCGGGTCCAGTCGCATGTGTGCGACGGTATTGTCCGCGAAGTCACCCGGCACATGCTGCACCCTAGACTTAACGTGAAAGCTCTTCTGGCTTGATGCGCGGAATTGCTGCAACAAGGCTGCAGGTGAAAGATTCTTGGGGCAGGGAGTGTATGGATTGAGAATTCCTGTTCCATCGAGAGGTCATTGCGCTGAACACCGTCTTGGGCACCTGTGAGGTATGCAGGACGGGCCTTGCTGCTCACAGGGTCATTTCAGAGCTTTCTCTCTCTGTCTCTCTCCCTCTCTCCCTCTCTAACTCTCTGACTCTCTCCCTCTCTCCCTCTCTCTCGCTCGCTGTCTCTCTCTCTCTCTCTCTCTCTCGCTCGCTCTCTCTCTCTGTCTCTCTCTCTCTCTCTCTCTCGCTCTGGCCCTCTCTCTCTCTCTCTCTTGTGCTCTCGCTCTCTCTCCGTCCCTCTGGATCTTGTGCGTCTGGCCAAGCTGCACAATTGGCTTTGTGGTTCAAGCTCTCAGGGCTTGAGTCTTTGCCTGAATATCTGGTGTGTTCTGTTGCTGTAGAGCACGAGAAATCTGTATTCTCGCTGTGGTTCGTGCTCTCCCCTGCCCAGCCGGTTGAAAACTCCACAGATGTAGTGTGGTATGAGCAATATGCAATGTACATCAAGTCTACATAGATACGGTATGTATGCGGCGGCATACTTCGTCTGGGTCCAGGACACTTGCATGCTGCAGGAGGTTATTCGATCGCTAGCCGTCCAACACGATCATAAGGAAGCAGGACTCCCGAGTATCAGATCAAGCAGTTTGCACAACATGCCAAGTTGTCTATCACATTTTGTTACCATCATCATCATCATCACCAACATCATCAACCCTAAACCCTAAACTCTTAACCCTACCCCCCCCCCCCCCCCCCCCCCCCCCGCCCTCCTAGAAGGCAGTGGCTGGCAGCTTTGAGCTTGCCACGGGGCCGCACTTCTGCATGCGCTTCGATGCCCCATGCGCCAGCCATTTTCGCTCAGGGGCTGCGGGTTTAGGGTTTTAAAGTTTAGGGTGCAGGATTTAGGGTTTAGGGTGTAGGATATGCATTTATTAATTTATTGGCTTCTATGTATGTATGGATGGTCCTTGCCTGTAAACCCAACAACCCTATAATACTATTGGTCTTGTGGCTTTCAGAAACTCAGAAACTTCTAGGCTTCATAATTAGAAGTACTATTTGCTATTCCTGATGCTCCTCGATGCTCCTTGTTGTAATTGTGGTGTAAGATACCCCCCCCCCCCCCAAGCCCGTCCTAGTTACTTAGTTACCCTAAGCCCAGCCCTAAACCCTAAGCCCCCAAACCCCTAAACCCTTAAACCCTAAACCAACACCCCTAAACCCTAACCCCTACACCCCTATGGATCCCCTAAGCCCTAAACCGCTAGATAATGGGTATTAAGGGTATATACCTAGAGGTCCGTTTTAAGGGTCCCTCCTTTGACCCTTGGAGTAGAGGTTAAGCCCTAAACCCTAAACCCCTAAACCCTAAACCCCCAAATCCCTGAAGCCCTAAAGCCCTAAACCTATGAAGAAATAAGCCATTGCACTTTAAAAAAAAAAACCTATGAAGCCCCACTTGAAGGCTCATGGGACTTAGTAAGTAAGGTTATAAGTCGGTTATAATTAGGATAACCCCACTTAGGGGACTTATAACCCCAGTTATAACCTACTTACTAAGTCCCATGATCCTCTAAGTATGAAACCCTTAGGGTGAGCCCTAAACCCTTAACCCCCAAACCCCTGAAGCCCTAAAGCCCTAACCCTAAACCATAAAGCCCTAAACCCTAAACCCATAACCTATGAAGCCCTAAGAAAGCCTGTACCCAGAGACTCCAATATCCCTTAATTAAGGAATATTCCCTAAATTATAGTAGGATCCTTAATATGACTTAAGGCATATTCCCTAATTGAGGGATATTGGAGTCTCTGGGTAGAGGTTACTTGCTGCTGCCGCCTGGCATCTGGAGCCACAGCTGGTGACCTGGGAGCGGGTGATCCAGATCTGCATTGGGGGGTCAGAAGAGGGAGTTTCCGAAAATTGCGGGGGTACCTTTACAGGGATCTATAAGGGTTCCTTTAAGGGTTCTTATTCAAAGGGATCTATAGGGTTTAGGGTTTAGGGTTTGGGAGTTACCGAAAATTGGGGGGGTACTTTGTTTTGGGGTCCTCATCAATTTGGATCCTACTATTTAGGGTATTGTATGAGGGTCCCCTATTTTCGGAAACTCCCATGAGACGTAGTAAGCCGAAGGGTCCATGTACCCATATAAGGGTCCTATAAGGGTTCCACAGGGTTTAGGGTATAAGGGTCCATGTACCCAAAGAGTACATACTTTGGCTCCAAGGTACCTACTTTTAAGGCCGAGGTCTGACGTATGTACTATCTGGGTTCATGGACTCTTAGGGTAAGCGGGTTTAGGGTTTTGGGCTTCAGGCCTTTTGGGTTGAAGTCGAGTCTAGTTACTAAGTCCCATGACCCTTGAAGAAAAGATCAGCTGTCGGGTCGGGCCGTTGGAGGGATTTCTCCCTCAATCTTAAACCGGAAAGCTCGATAGTCAAGGACTGCTTCGCAACCACGAAGCCTGAAACCCAAAGACTCTTAAGACGTGCCCGAAAACAAGGCTCCTAACCTCCCTAGCAACCCTTAGCTAAAAGCTTGAACCCCAAAGGCTAGACCGCTAATCGGAACGGACCCTGCGATTCTAAAGGCCATCGGTGCTTGTGCTGGCTCTGGCAATTGGGCTGCTGGGCTGGCGCTGCTCAGGCGAGTCTGGGATTCAGGGACTAGGGTTTAGAGATAAGGATCAAGGTTTATCGGGTTTATTAGAAATAAGGGCACGGCAGAAGGTAGTGATGTTGGAAGGTGTCGGGTTTCAGGGTGGGTTGGGGGGTGGGGGGGTGGAAGGTTTGCACTCCCCACCCTACGTTAGCACATGTATATATAGAGCTGGAGCACACTCCAGGTCATGGATGCTTCACTGGATACGTTCCGGGTGAGACAGATGGAGATGTGCTGCATGGAAGTCCAGGGCAGAAATGCTCAGAACAAGAATCCGTTAATCACATGGTTGAGGTTATTAGAGTTTCCTGGAACTAGATGCAACGAGAAGGAACGAATAGTCATTGATATTTTGGCAGCCGGTGACCACCAACCTCAAACCCTAAACCCCGGATAACGAACAGCTCTAAACCGCAAACCCTTAACTCTTCACAACTAACTACTCAAAACTCTGAACCCTCAACCCTAAATTTAGATAACCCTAAGCCCCAAATCCTATAAAACCCTAGACAACCACATATAACTTTAAACCCCATTCCTTCCGGGGTTTTGAATCTCTGGCAGAGGCAGATGATGCTGGACAGGCAGCGCCGTTCCAAACTCTTCGTTTTCCTGGTTCTCGGGTCCTTGCAGTAGGGCTTTTTGGGTTGAGGGCTATTTAGGGTATAGGGTTTTGGAGTGTCAGGAATAGCGTTGAGGGTGGTCGATAGGGCTTCCGCTGTGCATCTTCCTTGGATGCTTCGTAGAAAAGAACTCCTTCGGATTAAGTTTGCAGCGAGGGTGGTTGTCTCTGACACGAGCCGAGACTTTCAATTCGGAATGTTGGCCTTCATAAAGTCTTCAACAAGGAGGGCGGCAAGAAGACCTCGAATTTCCGATGCCTGCAGGCCGCAGCTTCCCATCTGAGTTTCGCAGGGTTTGATGTTTAGGATCCGGCAGCGGTCAAGCACCCTATATCTCAAGCCCTTGAGCCCTTATCAGGTCAGTTTCCAACAAAGCCTAGTAAAGACAAATGTCGTACAAACCCTTGAGCCCAAAAGCTCTAAACCCCTAAAGCCCTAAACCTATGAAGCCCTAAGAGGTGGAAGCCCTCCACGGCGGCAGTTGGAGCCATCCTCCGGGGCTTGGATCGCTGCTGCCAGCCATGGGAGTTCTCTTTGCAGCTGCTGCCCCCCGGCTTCGGTTCAGGGACTTTCAGGATGTTCGGATTTTGAGGCGGTTTAGGGACTTTCGAGATGTTTAGGAGTTTAGGGTTTGAGGGCTTCGGGCTTTGGGGTTTTAAGGTTTAGGTTCGGGGGACTTGGTGAGTAAGGTTAGGAGGAGACGTAATTGGGGGGATAAGAATTTGTTATACGTTTACTTGCCACCGACCGTGACGCCCCGAACGCAAAGAGGGTCGTCATCATTTGAATAGGCTCTTATGTTCTGGACAACATGACATAGGGATGGATGGGATCCCATTGCAATCCCTTTTACGGTAATGGGCGTTTACCAATCTCGGGTCTGCTAGCTGCAGCCACCCAATCACTCCAAGGCCCCCTATCAATACAGGAGTATCCCTTAAACTAGGGCTTATATTAAAATAGGAACCCTGATATGCTTTAGATTGTAATTCGGTTTGGGAGTCTCTGGGCAAGGCAGTGTCTGATTGGCGAAGACGTGGCCCCCGACTGCGCTGCTTATGGCGCGGTGCTCAAGACATGCCTCCTGGCAGTCAGTCAAGTACTCTGCTATATACCCTGAACCCTGAAACCTAAACTTGCCCTAAACCCTGAACCCTAAGCCCTAAACCTATACCCTGAACCCTGAAACCTAAACTTGCCCTAAACCCTGAACCCTAAGCCCTAAACCAAGAACCCAAAGCCCTTGAGTCTTTGTTTGGCCCGAAACCTGCGACCCAGAAAGTCTTCAGCGAACCGGCGTCCTCACGCCCTAAACTGTTTAGGGTTTAGGGTTTAGGGTTTAGGGTTTAGGGTTTAGGGTTTAGGGTTTAGGGTTAAACACCACAGCATCACCGGCTCTGGCTTGTCACAGGGTGGCGAAACCATAACCCTCACCCCCCAGCGACACCAAAACCCCTTGACAAAGGAATAGATCTTACATCGTGTTAGGGTGCATACTATAGTTTGAGGGATTCCTGAATTAAATAGGTGTGAGGGCCGTGAAACGGTTTAGGGTTTAGGGTTTACATACTGTCTTTACAGGCCTACGCCCCTAAGCAGCATACAGACGCAGGGCTAACAAAAACGGCAGACACGAAATTCATGTTGCGCATAATGTAGAAGCCTACAAAACTATCGATGTTAGTCTTAAGCATTTTTGCTCCAAGAATACTATAAAGAAGCCCAAAACCCTATTCTAATTTGTAAGGCCTCTACAGTGTGGGGGGATGCCAAGCGAAGCTGCCAACAAACGACAGAGATATGATTTGAACCAAGATGACTGGGTTTAGGGTGTAGCCGCTTCAGGACCTGCCACCGTACCTCTGACACTGACGCAGCCTTTCAAAATCCTAGGTTCTTGGACCATACATCCCAAGCTTGAACCCTATAGCCTAATGTGAGCCTCAAGATCATGAGAGGAAGACGTTCAACACTGCTTCCAAGAGTTATCCGAAAAAACATCCCCAACTTAGCCCCTACCCAAACCTATCTTCGATGTAAGAAGCAGTAAGTACCCAACAAGTGTACTTACATTGCAGGGTTTAGAGTGCTTAGACCCAGTTTCACCATAAGGAACTAAATTAATGTAGCCAAAAAAGGTATTAGATTGTACTGGTAGTGCCTAGGTCGATGATCAGTAAAGATGAGCCCACCAGACGGGTCTGAGTACTCAACCCCCTGTGCAAACTTCAGTGACCGAGGCTACCACAGTGGGAAGTGCCTTGCATAACTTCAGGTGAAGACGGTCGGGACATAAAGCTGGTGCAATCATCGGAACAGTTCATTTTTTCGTATTACATACCTTGTGCTGCCTATCGAAACCCAGCCAGCGGGGACATTCGTACGTAGTCGCTTCAAAGCTACATGAGACAATATAGGGGCCTAAAGAATTACTACATCTATACCATCTTTTGTGGTTCCTTATGATTATAGCTGTAGTATAACATACCCCTAAGGCCCTACTCTAATTGTTAAGGCGCCTGTTACTTTCCGAGCTTTACGGCTCTAAGAGGGTCCTGCTTGCTGGGCGATTGGACAGAGCTTCGGCGCGAGGGTGTTTGGAACCGCAGAAGTCCGAGAACCTAAGAACTGGGGTTTGTGGTTCAGAATTTAGGAGTTGAGGGGTTTAGGGTGCAGGGTTCTTAGTAGTCGAGTGAGTACACTTTATACAGTGTTTGACTGTTAAGCATTCCTTCAGTCAACAGCTACGAACCAGGACTTTAAGTAAGCCAGCTCATCCATCTGGTTAACGAGCACTTGTAAGCCCGCAAACCATGGGTAGGACAACTCTCAGAAGCATTGATCCGTGAATCCTAAAACTAACGTTTAGGGTCCAGGGTTTTGAGTTTGGTGTTAGGACTTTTCGGTTTCGGGATCTGCTTGCAGAGTTTTAGGTCTCCAGAGTTGCATGCTGGGACCTTGCGAAGCCTGAATGCTGTCCCCTAAACCCTAAACCCTCCCTCTGATCCCAGCCGCGTTGGTCATGTGCTCCGAGGATGATGGCGATGGTGGTAATGTGGATGATGACCATGATGGCGATGATGGTGATGACGCCCATGATGGCGTTGTTGAGGATGATGAAGGTGATGCTCATGTTGATGATGATGATTATTATTATGATACGATTGCTGGTTTAGCTTAAGGGTATCCTGCAAAGGATCTACTTGTAATTAAGCTTCCAGTTTGGCAAGTTGCTGAGAATAATATGTTGTCTTGAACAAAGAAATCTGATGCCCAAGAAGTTTCTAGTCCGAGATACCCCGAACCCTATTGGAACCACTGAGGCGCTCCATGCTTGCCTATAGAGTCCCCAATAGAACCCTGAAAGGAACCCTGTATGAATCATGGCCCCAACCCTAAAACCCTGAACGCCAAACCCCAATAAAACCCTTAACCCTAAAACTCTAAACCCCATGCCTCCTGATCGTCTTCGGTCTTGGTGCTTGTGAGAGTAGACATCAAAAAGGAGCTTTAAAAAAACAACTCTAAACCCCAAATCCCAGAAAAAGCAACCCTGCGAGGCACCTGCTCGTTCCTGCGCTGTCTGATGCCTTGGGTGATGCTGGGAAGTTGGGCCTCTGGCGAAGCTTCCGGGGGACGTAGGCTCTTGCACGCACGGTTAGGGTTTAGGGTTTCGGGTTTTAGGGTTTAGGGTTTTAGTGTTTAAGGTTTAGGGTTTATAAACAGGGTTGAGGGTTTGAGTTGTAGGGTTTAGGGTCAAGCCTGAAGGATTAGCAAAATCAGTGTTTTAATTTTTGGGATGCATCCGAACGAAGGCACGACGGCCCGAACAGAATCTAGAAAATAAAATTAGTTCTTGGGGTTCCCTGGGTACCTTTTTGTGCTTGTATATTCTTGCTGTCAAGGCCCCTGCAGCGAGGAAACGTAAAGAGAGCTCTTGCTCGAGGTTATGCACCCCGTTGAGTTAGGTCTGCCGCCGCAAGGTCACCAGCTGGACTTATAGTAGACCCCAGAAAGTTGGACACTGGATTCAGGACAATTAGTGTTGGGATTCCCTATATATTAATCTTAAGGATTGAGGCTACTGGGTTTCCGACTTTTGGGTTTCTACTGTAAGCTGAGCCCAAACCGGCCCATTCCTGGAAGCCATCGGTCGGAAAGATGTACCGCGAGCCTTCGGGTACATCGCAGCTGGCTGTCGTGCACATGCGGGGAAGCTGCAAAAAGAAGCGCTCCCTGCACCCTGAACCACCCAGACTTTCCAAAATCCCTTAATTAAGGAATACATCTTGAATCTTATCAAGGATCCTACTAGAGTTTAATGGGATATTCCTCGAATCATTAAGGGAATCGTACGCCACGATGTCGAGAAGTCCTTTGACGCTTGCCACGCGAAGCCTCCGTTCACTGGAAGAGCTACCTGACATAATTCGACAAGAGCCTGAACAAATATTATTACTATTCCTGAGAGTTCCTGAAAGTGTGAGATGTACTCCAAAATGCAACCCTCATGCGTTGTGACTCCTAGAGAAGATTCACTTTGGTCCCTCTGCAAAAATGGGTCCCGATGTACTTATATTCTACTTAAGGTACATCCTCAAAACCCTCTTCTGCTGAGTATGACGGCCTAAACCCCGCACCCTGAACGCCCTATACCCTGTAAGCCCGAAGCCCCAAACCTCAAACCCTATGCTTTGTACGGCTTGCCTGCGGTTCGAGAAACGGCGCTTTCAAAATGACATCCTTCATCGCCTCCTCTTGGGAGGTTGGCTTCCAAGCCTTTCACCTGGGAATCTGCCCAGGCGCTCCCGGACATGACATGTTGTGAGTTCTCAGTAGTAACGTAGTAGATTGGCAGGTAAGGAGTACTATATTATAGTTCCTAAAATCCCAAAGGTTAACCTTCAGGGGTACTGGACAACTAAAACTTCGTTGTATCAGGATTTTTCTGGCACGTCTTCCTTTGTCTTTTGAGCAGGGATCGCACAGGATGTCCGGAAGTCAGTCGTTAAATGTTGACGGCAGTATTATACTCTAAGGGTCCATGTACCCAACTAGCAAGTAGTATATACTTTGGCCTTAGAGTAGTCCCTATAATATAGGTTGGGCCCAAAGTATATTAACTATTTGGGCACATGGGCCCTGATTAGGGATAACGACCACCAAGTGGAGGACTATCAAGGCTGCGGCTCATCCGAAAGTCACATCCTCCCCAAGCCCCGAAGTATTATAGGGACCTTAGCAATTAGAACAGGGCTTTGGTGCCCATTGTACTATAACTAGAATAACTAGAATACGGAACCCAAATAGGGCAATTATTAAGGCCCTATAGTAGTTTAACAAACGATGGCAGCTTCTGCACGTGACGAAGACCGCTTTGGCACTCCGGCGCAGGTGTCTTTCTTCGTGCTTGTTGGGGGGAGCCATTATCATGCTTCAAAAGCGCTGCTCCCATACAGCCCCAATCCCCGAGCAAGACACAAGCTTGTCAGGTCGCGGACCCCTTTGTGCACCTGACGAATCGTGCTGTTCAGAAACGCTCGATGCCTCAGCGACATTGGGTCTCGACTCGATGGAGTGGGGGCTTGTCTTAAGTACCTATACAGTTGAAAGTTTCTACAATCGGAATTATCGTTATGGTTTGGATAAGTATCCCCCATCTGCGTATTTATGGGCCCTTCCGGTTTAGGGTTTAAGTCCTGAGGCCCTTAAAAGGTTTCATATAGTTTAGGGTTTACGGTTTACCCCAAGGGTCCAAGTACCTGATAATCATATACTCCAGGATCCTAAGCTACATACTATCCGAAAGCCCAGTACCTAATTATTGGGTCCTTTGGACCCTTGGGGTAAACCGAAACCCTAAACCCTAAACCCTAAAACCCTAAACCCTAAACCCTAAGCTATATAGTTTAGGGTTTAAGGTTTATTGTGTTTAAGGTCCACGGTTTCGGATCCCCCCCCTCTCCGGTTTCGGCACATCTCAGACATCGGGGCTCAAGCTGGGAACGGTTCGAAAGACTATAGTCAGCCGTAAGCAAAGAGCCCAATACCCCTTAATTAAGGAATATATAGCTTAAATCAGGTTATTCATCCCCTCATAATTTAAGGTATATTCTGAATTAAGGGGTATTGGGCTCTCTGGGTAAGCAGCAGCATATGGGTAGATCAGCGTCAGGATAGTTGCAAGGACTCTAGCGGGGTTTAGAATCTTGTTGTTCAATGTCCTTACACCCTAGACGCTGATAATGTCCCTAAACCCTTGAACCTGATAAGCCTTAAGGCGTAGTCTTTGGTTCTTTGCTTCAGAACCTAAGGCCCAGACGACTCTGAAGCGTCGCCACGAAAGCCTGCCGCGCTCTGAGCTCTCCGCCCCGAATCTTCGGATGCTTAAGCGTCTCTACATACCAGCACCCCCCCAACTACTACCTTCCCGTATACCCCAAATACCCACTGCTAAGGGCCAGATGTGCTCTATTGAAGGGTGCTTGGGCGGCTGCTGCCTCCAAAATCCCTTAATTAAGGAATCTACACCTTATATCAGAGTAGGGCGGGAGCCTGCTATAATTCAAGGTACTTCGTTCATAATTACCTATACTATTTCCGGGGTTCCTTATTCTACTTATAGTAGATTGGGCCCCAAGACCCTATTCTACTTGCTACGGTTGATAATATGAATCCTGCATTACCTTAGGGATATTCCTTAATGAAAGGTTTTTGGAAGGCCTGGGAGCGACTCTTAAGCCTCGCAGCACCCCGAAAGATTGCACGCTAATCCCTACAGTGAACCCCAAAGAGTTTAGGGTTTAGGGTTTAGGGTTTAGGGTTTAGGGTTTAGGGTTTAGGGTTGGAAACCGGATTAAGGCCAAATAGTGATGGGGTTCCTTATACATTACTCTTAAGGATTGAGGCTATGGGGTTTCCAACTTTTGGGCTTCTGCTGTACACTTCTACAAGACAGGCACTATTCCCTGCCAGTCCTTAGAACTCTATTGAAAATCATAATTAAGGACCCTACACCTAGTCGGACCAGCAGCTCCCATGTGTGCTTCCAGCGCTCCATTGCTTCAATCATAACTTCTTCGTGGGCTCCTGTGGCCTTTCTTGCCCCAAAACCACCAAACTCCGCTAAACCCTAAACCCCTAAACTCCACCGAACCCCGAAAAAACTCCCCCCAGCCACCAAACTCCCCTAAACCCTAAACCCCTAAACTCCACCGAACCCCCGAATGAAACTCCCCCAAACTCCGAAACCCCGAAACTCGCACACGGAAGCCCCAGCTCCTCCTCTCGCCCTCCTCCGTGGCCACAGGGCCCCCTCGAAGAGGACGAGGCCGGCCCTACATGTCAGAATCGCAGATATTTGTCTGAGTCCTAGTTGATTGGCGTTGGGTTTTGCGGTATTTTTTCGCTGTTTTCAGTACAACAAGGAGCCCCACGTAATAATATAGGTAACTGTACCCACCTACTGTGGGGGTGGGCCAAGCCCTAAACCCTAAAACCCCAAACCCAAGACACCTATATAAACCTAAACCCTAAACCCTACTGTAGTTTTACTTCAAATTTGGTCCACGATATCCCATTCCAGACCCCGCCCTGTCCAGCTCCGCATAGCTCGGGAGGGTTTTGCGGATTTGGAGTTTGAAGTCACGGCTTGGGTTTTGTAAGTTTCAGGGGTTTGTTACAGGAAATTTAGTAGGATGCACCTTGACCCCAAGGAACCTACCTTTTTAAGGACTTATATAAAGAAATCATATTAGGGAACCCTAAAAAGGCAGGTTCCTTAGGGTCCAGGTAGGGGTTTAGGGATTCGGGTTTCCTCTGCAGGCCCACATTTGGCTCCTGCCCGCCTTTCTCGAGTGGGCGGAGGCCCCTTGCAAAGGGTTTAGGGTTCGACTCATAGGTTGATGGCGAGGGTTCAGGTTTTAAGGGTTCAGGGTTGCACAAGGGTTCAGGGGGTTTGAAATAATAGCTATTCATTAGTAGTATCCTTCATAGTCCACACCGTTGTATGGGAAGAGCAAGTCTTGAATTGTAAGGCGGATTTGGCGACGTTTTCCGGTCCGTCGTACTGCAACCAACCGAGACAACACATCATCGGACTGCCGCCGAGCTAGAACCTCGGACACGATAGCCGTGCACAGAGAAAACCCTGAGCCCTAAACAGTAGGCTGCAACCAACTGTCCCCGGTTGCAAAGATTGCCGGAAGCAAACACTGGGATTCGATGTCGCTGGAAGCCGAAGCATTGCAACCTTAAACCTGACCAGGGGACCCAACGCTTCTGCATAGGGTTTGGATTGATGAGAATGCTTCTGGTGAGCATCTTCAGTACCTGGTATTCAGTCGTGTATTGCACATCCCTGGTGCAAGAAAGTCGTGAACAGTCCCCGATCGAACCGATTTCAACCCTTGAGCCCATGTGCCCGAACGCCGCTAAAACCAGTGATGCTTATGTTAGTACCCATAGGCCCCATACTAGTTCTTTTTTGGGAGTACCTTCTAGGATTCTACATATGGTCTCCAAAGAGGAACTACTATGGGGCCTCTGGCTACTGCTTGACTCTAAGGAACATAACTATCATCATATGTCTGGTGTCAGATCACAACGTCACAGCTGCGCTCCCAAACTTTCAATCCAAATCA